CACACACACATATATGTATTTTTATATTCATATATAAAAATTGCAGTGACATACAGCTCTGTATTCTCCCTTACTCGTAACACCAGGAAAAAAGTCGTGATTTCAGCCGTGCTGTAATTACTAATGACTACACTCACTAAACTGCACAAGCTCATGTGACAACTCAATAAAGAGTTCCTCCACCTTTCTTGATGCAAATTTTTTACATTGAGTCCTCTGCTTCTTCTAAAATTACTTCAGACTAATTTAGAATGATAGCTTTTTCATTCTTTTGGAATGTTTTCATATTGTGATCATTACGTGATAATCTGTGGCTCTAATTATCCCGGCCAGCTGGGTTTTCTCAGCCTGTTTGCATGAAGCAGCAACATTGAATAAAAGACTTGAACACTATTAATACTATATTCTGTTTTGTGACAATCTACAACTATGTGGTTTCTGCATAACACAATTACTCAAAAAGCCCAGAGCTCCATCTCTTCTAAAAAATTAGAGAAAAAGGAAAAAAAAAACTTTGTCAGTCCCAAACTACCAACTCCCAGTTGGTAGTATTTTTTTTTTTTTTTTGATAATGGGATACTGCTGCTCTTTAGCTATGAGTGCAAGAAAGATAAATAATGAAATTATAAATTCACCTGGTTTAAATCTTGATAATTCTGCCTCTGGTTCAGTCCTATTGCTAATATGTAGTCACTTTTAAACTTCCTTAGACACTGGATTGCATTCTTTAGTCAGGTGGCCTTCATCAGTGTATTCTGAAGGGCCATCTGGTGGTAAAATCATTTGAAACAAACACTGTCAACAAGGATGCATGTTGAATATTTAATTGGAATCACGAACAGGATTTTTTTCAGTGCAAATGGAGCTCAGTTAGCTTGTGTTCCCCTTTGCAGATTAAAAATAAAAAGTTGCACATTGTGTGCACCTGTTAAATTAAATGTTTCCTAAATATTTCTTTCATTTCTTAATTGTGCTGGCTGAAAAGAAAATGTGCGACAAATATTTTTATGTGATTTTGTTTGAATTGCCGATGCTTCTTATTCTTTAACCTATTTATATAAGATCAGATATTTTTCACTCCATAGTAGAAAGAGGTTGTTTTCTGTTGTGCCTGCACATGAATACAAAAGTAGAAGGGGAAAACAATGCCAGTGTTTCAAATGTTCTGTAAAGGACAAGTATACAGAATAGATGGAAGGCATTTTTTGTTGCCTCAGTAGTTTAAATCTTAGCTATGGAGATTGAATTTGATGCCTTTTTTTGGTAGAGTTACCTAAAAGGTACAGTGGTCATGCACACTCTGCATTTCTCATTTTGTTGGACCATATTGTGTATGTGGCAGTAAATACAGTGGCTTAACCTCACTGAACACTCACTCTGGAATCAGTACTTAGCCCCAGAACTGAAGAAAGGGTAGGGTAGGCAGGGAGGCACCTTGGCACTCAGTGTTTCATCACCGTGCACTCTGTGTGGTGATCCTGACAATGGAAACTAAGTGCAAGTATAAATCTGAGGAGTGTACTTCTACCTCTGCTGTGTGCTCAGTCAGAATAAAGGGGCAAGCTTGGAGGTTGGTGCTAACCACTTGCATGACTCTTGTCATGGAGCACAGCTGGTCTTGGATGGTGTTCAGTATAATGGGAGAAGCAATTTGAATTTGGTTTTCTTCCTTCCTTGGTAGGCTGCCTGCACCACTTGTTTCCTCTCTGGCTCCTGTCCGAAGGCTGCATTCCTTTCTCTTGCAGTCCCTCAGCAAGATTGATTCAGTTACCAGTGCAGCATGTATAGAGAATCTGATGTGCTGTGCAGTGTTGTTCCAGCTCTTGATTTGTTCCATGTTTCACTTCTGTTTGCCACATGAAGGGTGTATGATTCTTAAACCATCAGGAAATAACAGGGGGAATTCCTCTAGACTAAACTACCACATAAACATTTCTCTCTGTTGCTTTGCATTCATACATACTAATACTGTTTACTTGGAGCGTGAAGTTTGTCCATCATAACTTAATATTTTTTTATCTTGCAGATCCTGTTTAGCCCAAGGAGACCTGATGACCACACCTTATTTGTTCACTGAATTTTGAAGTGTAATGCACTGCAGTGCATGGCACACTCTAATGTAACTCAATAAATAAAATACATATGTCAGTGGCATTTAGTTGTCTTCATTGATGTAGAAATGCTTAAAGGCTCAGATGCTGGGAAGGGTGGTGGAAGCTACTCAAGTTTGCTCAAGGTGTTCAGAAACTGCACAAGATGACTAAGTCTAATTTTCTTTCCTTCAGGAATTATTTGCATCTCTGTTTTGGCCCAGTTCCATGTTTGATAACACAGTATATCCCTAAGCATTTACAGCTAGGTTGTCCCAGCTGCTGATGGGAATATGGAAGAGGACAGATGTTACAGGAAGGGAGAGGATAGACTTCTGGAAAGGTCTGTGTTACCTCAGGCTTCACAAGGTGAGCTCACCTTGAGAGGAAAGAATTTGGAGGCATTCTGGAAATACACTAGCCCACCTTCCTGTCTTTCTGCTGTCATTGCTGTATTGCCTTCCTTACAGCAGCAAAATGTTACAGCAAGACCTAGAGACTATGTTCTTATACATGGTATGTTAGTTACTCTAATTGGGAAATGACTCTAAACTGCAGGCTTGTTCGTGTGTGTGATGTACAAGGTGAAAGGGGGTATGGGTGGACAAATACTTTAGGATATTACTGTAATGAAAATCTTGGCATGCTGCTTTTAGACGTGTATCATCACCTTTTCAATATCTGGAAGGAGTCAGCTAAGCATAGTTTGCATCTCTGCTACATTCTGTGCAGTCTCAGACCTGATGCTCTCTCTTATGCCACGGTACCTGTCACTGAGGACAGGCTTTGTCATTGCCTGTTGCTCAGAATAAAGGAGGTACTAGGACTGCAGCTTTTGTTTGCTGCATCTGGGTACTAGGAGAGCAGTCAAAAGCTGACTGCGTGAAAGGGGAGGTTTGGTATGAAGCAGCATGACAAATTAGGCCATCTGTGTTGTATTTGAAGGTCTTCAGTTCAAATCCTGTTTGGAGTAACTCTTATTATTTTACATGGATCATTAACTACTTAACACTTAATAGGTATCCTTGAACAACATTTGGACTAATGAAAGCACGTAAGTAATGTATGTGATCCAGAACACTTTTTAGATCAACGTGAGATTTTCTTTTAACTTCCCATACAGGCTGTGCTTCCTTTAAGCAGAGAAAGAATTTGACATTAGTGGTGCAGGGGAAACCATCTAGTAATCAAAATACCCCTTCTCCTATAAATGTAAACCAGATCTTAACAATAGCAAATGATACCCATTTATCTTCCCAATGTACAGTATAAACATTGTATGCCGTTAAGTACTGACTAACATTTTCTCAAGCCTGTGCACGTTTAAATAGCCAGTGGTCTTCAGTCATACTGACAGCTTCAGAGGCAAAGAAACTTGCTACTGCCAGGTGTGCAGGCTAATAGACACGACTTCCATTGCAGTTCTAGTCCCTGTTCTTTGCAGTTGTTGTGAATTAATTTACTGTTAAATTCTAAGTTTCTCCTAAACTGTTGTAGCAAGCAGCAGTTATTGTAGTCTGTGTTCCTTCAGTTACCAACACGATGACTTAAAGAAATGAGTTTTGTGATTGAAGGCAGTTTTTGAAAATACAGCAGAGCGCAGAGGTGTCTCTGGCTAAATGTATTCAACAAAGAAAGGTGAGCTCTAATTTTTATGGCTTTACTTTGAGAAATCTGTAGACTGTAATTGTTGCTTTCTGTATACATTTTGGTTTCACTCTGGATGCAAGGCAAGTACTTCCCTTCATCAGGCAATGCCAACCAACCCACAGCTTGCATTCCTCTGGAGGAGGGAGGGCAAAGCTGGGTACCTAACCTGCTTTTCTGAAATCAGCACCAACCTGCCAGTTTTTTGTTTTTTTTTTTTTTCCTTTGTCAGCAAGAGTTCAGCTACTTCTATCTTAAAAAGAATGGGAGTGGGATTAGCATAGTACAAGACCTGTGAATAAGACCCTTATCAGTTGCTTGTTACAGAGTCTGGCAGGCTGTTTCTCGGAGATGCAGGGCTGAAAAAACATGCTTGTCTGCTCTGAGACCATCCCAACTGTCTAAAGGTTTTTGCTATATTTATGTATGAAATAATATATTAAAAGGAGTTATTTGATTTGGGAAAGGTCTTTCTGTATATAAGCCTGACCATGCCTTCAAATTTTTTGGCTGGCTTGCTTTATGCTCGAGTGTTTGAGGAGTGATTGATTGTTCTGGAAGCAAACTAAAAAGATAGATTTGAAGTTGTGAGCTCTCCAGGTCTAAAGAGCATTGTGAGAGTAGGCATGTTTTAAGAGTACACATTGCAGTGCTTTAGCAGCTAAGTACAGGCAGCTGCTCTTAGGACAGCTTTGTTTTCATAGTTCACACAGCTCATATGTAGGAGAGGCTGATTTATGTGCCGTCTCCACTCGTTTCCATACATGTGTCAGAAGGGGGAGAAAGAACCTGTCTAATGCAGTAAAGATGCAGCTCAATTCACTGAAGAAAAGTGTAATTTAAGCAAGTGTTTTTTCCAGGAGACTGTAATTCAGGAAAAACACAAATGTATTTTAAACAATGGCTGAAATCTACAAACTTTCAGAAATGAAACTGCTGTCCCTCATTTTTTACAGGTGTGTTTGCATCCTCTTGGCTTGTCTGTGTACTGCATAAATAAGGAACAGATTGGTCTAACTCTCATGGTGACTACGGTACTGTTTTGATTCAGTCACAAAAGCATAAAGCTTTTCAGTACACATTTTTTGGCAATCTAATCATCAGTTTTTGCTTCCAAAGCATTGTCATGATCTGTTGCATTTTCTGGTATACTACAAAGTCCAGTGACCAACCGGAATCTAATGGGATCCACGTGAAGTTTGTACTTCAGTATTGTCATTGTTCTGCATCTTGTAACTGAATGACCAAACACCTCACAAACCCAAGTATTATAGGAATAGCTTTATTATCTTTAAACAACTCCATTATATTACAATTTATCCATCAAAATGCAAAATTAGAAATTTTAAACAATTTCCCTAAAATGTTCAGGAATGAAGCATGAGTGTGTATATACATATAGACTTTTTAAATAGTGTTATTTAAGCAATGACTAACTTATTAAACCACTGTATGAAATGTTGATAATGGATGGGCTTTTTTCACAGTCAGAAAAGGACACTGCAGACCCCAGGCCCCAGTATTCTCAATACATGAGAGACACGGCTTTTAGAATTACCTTTTAACAAAACAACTCACATGAAAAACGTTGCAGTTACTACATTCTTATTTACTGTGCAGTTGGTCATATCAGGTATGCATAGAAGTTATTAACTATAAAGCATATGCTCCAAATGGCGATCAGATTTTATTCCAGTTCTTGTCTCTGACTCCAGCCATGTTCAGGAATCTCAAGACAAAATTCAGGTTCATAAGCACATGGAAAAGGGCAGAAAAGTTAACATGCATAGCTGAAAATGAAGTAAGCTTTTGGGTTTTAAAATAAAACTGCCATAGCCATATTTGGTTTATAAAGTCATCTAACTGTGCCCAGTCAGTGATTTCTTGTCTACTACAAGAAATACAGGTATTTAATATATATTTGTAAGTGTATTGTGATGGCATCATTAACTATTAAGGTAATTGGTGCCTGTGGGACCATAGTTTTCAATCAATTTGGAAAAAAAAAATCTCTTTGCTTAGTACATATTTGAAAGGTCATGTTTCTAAATATCCCTGGTTTTATCTGTTTGAAGATGATAAGCGTAAAATGAATTAGGGCTGAAGGGAGCACATACAATGTAGTGGTGGCAGATCAGAAATAAGCAAGACCCCACAAGGCTGTACTTAGCACCTGCACATCTGGGTTACACTGAGCTTATGGATTTTAAGGAGACAGCTCTATTTCTTAAATTTTCAACCTGCATGTTACTTCCAGCTAAAGACCAGACAATGCACAGTCATACAGACATTGAAAGTACTTCTGAAAATTTGATGGTGGATAAAATAAAGTTTCTGTATACAGACAGTTTTAAAAATAAATTCACGTTGTAGTTCATGTTTTGTCCTCCAAACCACACAAAGGCACTAGTTTACATTACGGACTAATGTCCTGCAAAACTTCAGTCAAATAAAGGAAGCTATTTTAAGGTTAAAGTGGTGCTAAAACCCAGCTGTCACTAGTAACTTAAAACAGCCACACTGGGTTTTTCAGATTTAGTGGGGGAAAATGTTTTGCCTCAGGATGCACATGTTGGGGGAGCGTGGGTGTTGGGGGAAAGGCTCAGCCTTGAGCAAGTTTTTACAGCTGAGTTATAAACCTGGTTTATAACAGAAACTGGCAGACCCTAAAAGATGATATAGAGGTATTGATACACATTTGTGTGTGTGGCAAAAATGTCTGTATGCACGCAGTTTTTCCCTATTCTCTAATTTTTGGTTATTGAAAAGGGAAGGGGTTTTGATTGAGCTATAGTCCAAGGCTGTTCTGTCTCACTTTATTCATTTGCCAGAACGCTTTCCTTCCAGCACTAGTATTTTGGCTAGGGAGCAGGAATGTTGTTAAGATTAGAAAAGCTATTGGGCTTTGTTACCAATTTCTACCTCCTCAAAAATTATATGCATCTCTACTTGATGCAGGTTACTGCAGAGAAAGCATTACTTTCACACTGGTACGCCGTCACTATACTCAACACAAATAACTATTAATTAAATCCTTTCCTCAATGCCTTATTTTTCACCATGGTGAATTTGCTAATGAATACTTGGGCAAAATTTGGATCAACTACATACTGATAGGTTTTCGTTATAGTTGGGGGCTGTTCAGCAGCCACAGTTTGCAGTGCTGGCCCCGTGGAGGTGCTGGGAGCGAGGTGGTAGGACGTCTTCGTGATGTACTCCACCAGGCGGTTGTACTGTTGTTCTGACAGTCTCTCTCTAGCTCCGTCAGCCTGAAATCAGATACGATAAAATAATTACTGAGTATTTGACAGCAACTGAACTGAGCAAGGAAGGACAGTGACTTCCACATTACTCTCTTAAAAATCTTCCTCCCTGGAATATTTTTTAACAATAGTTCAAATGATTTTTTAAATCAACAGTGTTCTCCCATAGTTTAGTCCTTGGTGAATTAGTCCTCCCCTCTGCTGTTTTGAGAAGCTCTAACTCTGCTGCAGAAAATTTAAGGAGTATCTTTTGAGAATTTAATAGATGGACACCTTGACCACGAGTAGAACTTTAGAACAGATCAAACCCCTTTTAGAAAAATGCCAGTAGCTCATGGAAGCTACCTGTCAGATAGCAATTCTAATTAGCAAAAACATTTTCTCAAAAAGTACCATTAAAGACAGCCCACAGCTAATATCTGGGCAGTTGGTTTTAGGTCTTTAACTCACTTCATTTGAAATAAAGACTAGAAGCTACCTTCCAGGTGAATGTTCTATGGCATTCATCTGCTTCTGATAACAAAAAAAAAAACCCCAAACCATTCTGGGTCAGAGGACCCAAACACAGACATTTTTTTAAACAAAAGGGTTTTACTAAAGATGATTTGGGTATTTTGTTTCTGGAGAAGATATTAAGGTGTCTATGCAAACTGGCTTTCCCACCACCAGGAGTTGGAAGGACTCCTCTGAAGAAATCCCTTTTCTGCAGACTGAAATACGTAGAGGTTCAAGGCCTTAGCAAGAGGGATTCAAACGACCTTCCTGGTGGGAAAAAATCCAGTAAATCAAATACTGTCAACAGAAAGGTGGCATCTACCATATGGTTCCAACCAGATAAAGTATTAGATGAAAAGCTGTGGACAAACCTGACTTTGGAAGGTCAATCTGCTGTACCCTCTTTTTTGAAGAAGCTGAAGATGACTATAACTAGCTGGAGAAGGGAAGGCAAGCAGACAGGCTTGCCTTCAAGCTAATTAATTGCACGGTTCCAAAAAAACTTTATTTCAAAATTACCACCATGGATGCTACAGTAGTATGACTAGCTAAGTCATTCAGAATAGAAGTTATTTCAAAAATAAGATAATGAACAAAAAGACAGGAGCTATCCTAGGGCTAGGGTTTGACGCCTCCTTATTTACAGTTGCAGAACTGCTGACCAGTTTAATTTTTGTAGGGTTTAAAAATGTCTTTGTTGGACACCACACTAAGGATTTGTAGAGTGCTATCTTCTGCATGTCTTTCAAGGAGTTTTACACATCTTACTAGATATGATGGTATTTTCAAACTGCCGTTGGATTCCATGATCAGTATCTTGTCACATCTCTGGACTGCAAGACTCATTTTAAATACACCATTGCTTATTTGAAGAAAGAATTAATATAATTGACCTATAGTGACAGATGTCACATTCACATCAAAACAGTCCTTTCTGTTTTTTTTTCACTATGCTTTTGGAGGTGGATTTGCTGCTCAGCAAGTAGAAACACTCCTGTTTTCAATCATCATCACAAAAATGCTAGAGGAAGCAGGCTCACGAACAAGCTCAGAAGCTTAAGGTTGAAGCCTATGCCTAGAAACAGCAGAAATGATGAAATGGGCAGAGAAGAGTGTTGTTTTCATGAACGACCTTAAGGGAGGCAAAAATCAGAAGGCAGACTCTGCAGCAGACTCACAGCTAACAGTGCACAGCTAACAGAAGGGTGTCTGAACCACGTCTTCAGTCTGGTGCCTCAACAGAAGTATCTCAGCAGTCAATCTGTTTCACCGGTTGAAAGGAGAGAAATCTGCTGAAGCACAACCTATGTGAACCAGATTTCTTGCATGTAGGTGGCTCCACACTTTTTCCTGGTTTCTCCTTCTAGGGAGGTAAGCCCAGGGGCAGCTGGGTTCTGCCTCCACACTGACCAGAAGACCCAGCTTACCAAAGGAGATGGAAATATTGCTGGCATCCCATTCACCTACTCTTGTGAACCCATTCTTCATCCAGCCTCAGGCTATATTCCACAGATACAGCATAATCATCTAGGAGGAAATATTAACTGTGCTTGGATGGTCTTCCAAAGTAACTGCGACCCTGCCTGCTTCTAGAGGGCTTCATCTGTAACTGTCTGCTACTGCAGCCACTTTCAGTTCAGCTTATATTGTCAAGACAAGAGCAGAAGCTTGGAATTGCATTTTTTTCCCAAAAGGCATCTAACACTGTCACTAAGTGCCCTCACCCACGGCTTTGCAAAACTATCATGTTAATATTCAGACCATTCAATGGTTCAAAACTTAGTCAAGGGTTGCTTAATGTACCTGCTAGAGGAACAGTACAGATATCATGCCCTTTCATGCTGCAAGGGTTAAGAACTTTTGGCTGTATATATTGTGGAGGGAAACAAACCATCAGGCAAAACAGTTGCTGAGGGAGTCAAAATATACTTTTGGGTTAAGAGCTCCACAATGCTTCTAAAATTTCTCTCCTTATGGCTTATAAAGAATAAGCCTTCAGCAAAGATTCTGACTCCACAATAGACAGACACAGCACCTTTGTTGTGCAGTCCAGATGTGTTGGGCTCCTCTGTGCACACCAAGATTTGCTTCTTAAGGGATTTTTTTTTCCACTGCTTTGAAAAATCCAGAGACTGGTTTTCAGCTCTAGAGATGGTCACATGTAGCATTATCATGAAAACCCTGTTGCAGATTACCACAAAAAAATTATGGAATATTTGAAGGGCCCTTCGATTTCTTGTCATCTTCTTGATATTATGAGCTATACCAAGAGCAGCTGGAAGATCAGGCCTTTTGAGTATGACAACTGTCTGGAAGCAAGTAGTGTGTCAATTACTTTGGAAGATAATCCAAGTACAATTAATGCTTCCCTTTCAATAAAAATGTTGTCAGTGCCAGAGTTTTCAAGAATCCATCCTAGCCAGATGGATTAAGTTATATATTGTGGAGGCAAACAAGCCATCAGGCAAACCAATTGCTGAAGGAGTCAAAATATGCTCTATAATATCTCTGGTGATTACAGCTGTAGAAACTCATGTTTTGTTTCCTAACTGTTCCAAGAAGCTGAGGAGAGGGAATGGGAGAAACTGTTTTGGGCAGATCTGAAGCAAAACTTTTGGCAAACTCTATTTGTGAGCAGCAATACAAAAAAAGTGGATTTTTTTAACACTGAAATAAATTGTTTCAATTTGCTGCATTATTTCTAGCATTTTTGACTAGCTTAGTCAGAAAAATAATTTACATTTGGTAACATTACCTCTGTTTTGCTAAACTTATCATAATATTTTGGTTGACTTGACTAGGCATTTTCCAGCTAAAAATTCTGTTCCTCTTTACTAATGTTGTCATGCAAAGACGTTTGCACTTCAGCTGAGGACATCTCCAGTGCAACAAGATGGCCTAGTTTTAATATTGAGGACTTGTGCCTGTTTAGGTGTAGGCCTGCAGCTCAGAGGCTACTCAGCTGCAAGTCACAACTTGTTCCTCCTAAGGTTCCTTTTCCTAATCACATCACATCCAGTTTTTAGAAGCTCTGGACGGGGAGCTGAAGGGGAGGCTCTGGCTCCCATCAGCACTGGTGCTGCACGTGACACCCCAGAGGGCCACAGAACTGACATGTTCAGCTGCAGAAAGGAAATCATTAAGTACGAGGTCTCCCAATCCACTACGGCAAAAAACCATAGTAAACATTAATTACAAAAAATTTTACTTAACTCTAGGTAATGACTAAAACTATATGAAGTGTTTTGGAATCTTTCATTGTGTAGCTGCCTTAACGCAAAAAAATTCAAACTTCTTTTATTCTGCTCTACCTTACTTTCAACTGGCCCATTTCTCTAAATTTTTATACAAATTTAAGCATAAGCATCTGCATTCTGAAGGAATATTTTACCAGGTCTGATTTGTACAGCATCACTCAACTTTTGCTGCCTTGCCAGCATTAATTTGCTGTACCAGGGGCACAGGCACCCTTCACAGCTCTTACCATGCCACACATTTTCACTGCAATCTCAAGAGCCTGTGTCAGCAAAAGAGATGCTGTACTGAGGCTGAGTGGCTCAAGGCTTACAGCTCCTGGTGGTGCATTGCTGCACCACTTGAGTAGGACTCCCGTATTTCCATCCATAACTTCACAAAAACCCCACGTACTTGGTCCAGTACCTGGGCACACTCACCATTCCCACTGGTGTGTGTATGTGGGAAAGCCGGACTCTGCACATGCCAGGTAGGGTTGCTCTGTGCATTCAGAGGAGACACTTGCCCATAAATCCTACACGGTCCCAGCTGCAGCAGCTGTGCGGACTAGAATTAGGCTCCCTGCCCCTTGCCTTCCCTTCTTCCAGACAGGCAGCCCCTCTGCACCCTTCATCACCCTCTTGCAGCAACCTTTGAGCAAGCTGCCCTTTTACCACAGCACCATTCTATTCCTCACCCCTTGGATGACCAGACACAAAGACAAAAGCTATCACACTCCAAACTAATAAAAAAATATATAAGCTGCTGTTAAATTTAGGGTTGGGATAGATTGAGTGCATCAAATGCTTAGGGAGAACAATTTTTTTTTCTTCTTCCCTCCAGTACAGTAGCTCTGGACTGAGCAGGATAGTCTGGATTCAGTCTGATGTGTGCCATCCCTAACCACCTGGCATTCAGGGACAAAGAAACCTGAGCTTTGCCCACTTGCATCAAAATTTAAGTAATTCCTCATGTAGCTTTTCGATGAGAGAAGGCAATTTTAGTCAACAGTGCTCTGTGAAAATGAGGTCAGTGGAAAGACAACAAATGTAAATAGAGAATCCAGCACTAAAAAAAGCTGTCACAAAAATATTCAAGTGCTGTCACGATACAGATGAAGTCCTTGCTGTGCTGGAATCGATGACAAAACTCTTCAGTCACTTCAGCAAAGTTAGGATTTGAATGAAGATGCTCCTACTTTTTGTCACACCTCATACTTCATGGGGCTTTCCATGTTCTTTTCTTATATTTGAAACTGAAATTTCTGATATAGCAGTCCATGAACTACCTGACACACTTCTATAAAAACAACTGGGACATGCTTGTTTGTTTTTGAAATGCTCTCTCATATGATTCCACTTGAGAATTTAATACAATAAACAGTTTCCTGAAAGTGCAAAAATATAACATCCATCCAATAATACACCATTAAAATAAGTTAATTCATCCAAAACCCAAAGTATTCAAATGGCTTAGAGATCCTTCAGTATGAAGATGGTTATTTTATGCTCTTACTGGAAAACACGTGGTGCATCCAATCTCAGAAAAGAACTGACACAGTTTAAAGTTATCATTTGCAGAAGAAGGAAGATCTAAGGAAGCAAATACAACTGGCAGCCAAGCAAAACAACTGCACTGGAAGTGGCAAGATAAGAAACATGCTGAAAGGAGCATCAGCAACACTGATCTGTCAACAGAATTCACAGAATAATAAAAGGAGCTGCTCTTGCTGGGACCTTGTAGGCACAGGCAGCAATACTGACTTGCCAAACAATAAACACCTTGTGCATATCTAGGCATGAAAACCCTTTTGGAAAAGAGGTGGTGCTTACCAAGAATCAGGCTTCCTCTACCTTTTCCCTCAGAAAATTTCTGTCATGGATATGGTATATCACGATCAATAAGAGGACAGAAGGGAGGAGGCACATCCCTTGCATCCAAAGGGCAACACAGTCCCAACCCAGAATCACCAATGGGTGACTATCCCCGTCGCCAAAAGCATCATCATCAGTTGAGACTTCATCTTGGAATGAAAAACATACTCAGGTCTTTACCTCCAAATCAGAAGGCACTTTCTGCTGCTTTAGCTGCACCTTCAGCAGATCTTTTTGCTGATCATCTTCCAGACAATCGATTTCAGTCACAGGGAATGCCTGCTGCTGCGTGTCTTCACTGATGCTGACGACAAAGAGCACCTCTGAGGTGAGCAGCAAGCAGCCTTCATGCTGCTGGCCTGATCCACTCACAATCATGACATCTAAGGCCATATGGACCTCTGGCCTTCCTAGAGATTGCAGCATTTTCCTGCATTATCAAGGGAAAAAAAGAAAAAAAAAAAAGAAAAAAAGAAGTTGTCAGGTCCTCCAGGGCTTATTTTGATCACTAATGTTTTTACTTAAGCCTGTAGCTATCACCTACAGATGTAAAATGAGCCAGGGAGTGTATCCAAAACACCATTACTGAAAGATATTAGACTTCAGATTTAAAGAAGGAATGTGAAATTGTTACTTATAAAAACCCCTTAATCATTCACTGCAAAATTGGCCTAATATCTGTGCTAGGTCAGCCTATTTCCCATCCTATTTCCTTGATAATAGAAAAATTACCCTGAGAAGTGGCTTAGAGATTCAGGGCAGAAAATAAAGCTATCTTCACTAACAGCTGTTCTGGAGATGTGCAGTATTTTTCTTGGGCTTGGTGCAATGATAAATAAGTAAGAACTCACTGAATGCCATTAAATAAAGATCAGCTCTGTAGTTTCAGAGCTGGATGGAGATCAGCAGCCCATCATTTGCAGATTGGGTTTCTATGCACTACCTTTGTGTTTAATGTTCCTAAACAAACTGCCATAACTCAGCCTTTCCTAGGAAAGCAGCCTGTTAACTTGACCACAGGCCAGAACCTATTAATAAACAATGTGGATGTAAAAATGAGCAATTGTCTAAATAATTTTACCAGACATATTTGACGTGGCTGTTTGGAGCCTGCTCAACATGTTGATCATTTGGATGAGAGCGCTGCTTGGGAAGCTGAGAAAGTCCAGCTCCATGCAAAATACCTGTGGTGAGAGAGTTCAGGTTTTTTAGTAGTTGTTTTCTACAAAACAGTTACGTGTTGCAGTGATGTCATCTGTTTAAAGCAGTTCATAAAATAGTGCAGATCCAAAATGATGTCACATCTTTGGAAGCTGTAGTCAAGATAATTCATTAAATATTACAATGCAAGAGTTGTGCACTTAACCCCAGTGATCTTGCATTAGTGAGAAACAAAAAAAGCCCCACTGTGTGTTCTCTGAATTAGCCATACACTTGCAATCAAGAGAAACATAATGCTCCTGAGAGCCATCATTTCAGAGTAGGATCAGACACATCACTTAGGATTTATGCAGAAAAAATCAAGACCGTTGTTAACTTTCTTGATTAATATTAAAATACTTTCATATATGTGTCATGATTGGTACAAATTAGAAGGCAAGTTTGCCTAGATACTGTATTTAAATGTTCAGTTGCTTAATCCAGCTGTTAAACACAGATCCATATATATTTATGAGATCTCCTGGGGCATCTGGTTTATTGTGAATTCTTCTTAGTGCCAGCACAGAATGAAGACTACAAGCTGCAGTTAAACAGGTTTCTAAAAAGACTCACCAAAGCTGAAGATGATACAGTATGTATGCTTTCAGATGGCCTGTAAACTTTTAATGATGAGGTATGGTCACCAGAAAGAATGAGTGAGTTGCAGAAAAATTCACAAATTAAGTAGTTTTAAAATTTTTTACAGGACAGACACAAAGTGGGTTATGCAGCAAGCACTACTGTTACATGGTTTGGTGCGAAGTTGCTCTCCAAATAAATGGAAGAAATTTTCTTTTTTCTAATTAAGCATTCCAAAGGCATTTTTGCACAAGGGTGTCAATAACTTAGATTCCTTTTTACACAATGGATAATAATTTAAACAAAACATCAGCGATGAAAAAAACCCTTTAATTTTTAGCACACATGTTGATGGTAATACTTAAAAGCAGCATCCCAGTTGTAACAGTTGGCTTACCGAGGTTCTCAGCATTATGTGAATGAAAATGTTATTTACAGATGGAGAAAGAGAGAACATGTGTTTATTTCTGTGTGGTCCCCCACACCCCTTGGTCCCCCCCAAGAGGCACAGTCCCACTTCCAATTCAGTTGTGGGTAAGAGTTACTTGAACTTTTGTGTGTTTTCCTCTCATGCACTGTCAGCTATTATTGATACAGTTTTTATGTTTTTTCCTGGCTAACTCCTTTTGTCACATGCTCATGGAAAACATGATGTCTTATATACCATATCTGCAATGAAAAGTGTCCCTCTGCTATTACGAGTTTCTTGATAAAGATGGGAGCAGAATTAAGTCTAGAAAGAATAATGCAAAAACAACACACAGGCAGCTGACAACAGAAAAACGTTTGATATGGGTTTTATACCTATGGGATGTAGAGTTCAGGAGAACAGTTATTTATACTCATACAAACAAGCTAAGGTTGGTTTGAAAGAATTCTAATAATTGTTTTCATTATTTCTTTAAATAGATGGAATGAGTTGTGAACGTTGTCGGAACCATCTAAACTTAAGCCTTACAAGAACTACTCATATTCTAATCAACACATCACAGACATAAATACTGCTAGTGATTAAAGTCTTAAATATGCAAGATTTGTCTGGTATAATTAGTGAAGCAAAGATATTGACAGATTGTCCTTTTATCAACAGGTCTCCCTGCTTCTCTTCCCTGACTGCCTCCGCTCGCCATTTCCTCTTAAATACCCAAACCAACAACTTTGACTTATTGATACTGGAAGCAAAGGAATTAGTGTATGTTTAAATTTTATTTTTTTTCTTTTACACTTTTTGATCACATCAATTTGAAACGATTCGCCATCACTGCCACTAAGTCTAGCTGGAAAACCCACTTCTGCTTGCAAAAGGTTATCCATGTATCCAAAACCAGGACTGTCTCCTCATGACTCTCCAGTTTAAAGGGAATGTTCCCACTACATGACTCACTTCTTTCTCCCAGGAACATAACTCTCTCCTCGTGCAGAGATAGCACAACTCTTTCCTTGCCATAACAAAGCAATCTCAAAATAACCCTCTAATTGGATATAGTGTTGCTCTAATCCTTTTATGTCAAAAATCTTTTGTAAGCACATATGTTTCTGTAACTAATTCTGCTGTATTCCAAGAATTACTTCATGCTTTCTCCATTCTGTGTTTCTGTGGTTGTACATTGCTGATCGGTAACACAAGAGAGAAGCACAACGTGATGGCTTTTAAGAAAAGCAGCACAACATTTGTAAGTATTCTAAATCTTTCTCTAAGTCACATAGCTACTGAGCTGAGGAAGTAAGACACAGCAGTTTGGGTCTGAAAAGCATTTTAAAATTTGAATGGAGATGTTAGAAACAGCCAAACTCACCGTAACCTGTCTGGGAGACGAGCTCAGCTGCCCCTCCAATGGGCTTTGTGAAGACGCCCATGATTCCTTTCCCCACACCCGAGATGACCCCTCTGGCTTTGTGCCCAGCTGAAGCCTGGGCCTCAGATACTTGCTGAAAATTCTTCATCGGCTGATCCACAATCCCAGCAATTGCACCTGAAAAAAACAAGGGTACCCATTAAGTGGTGAAGATTAATATCCCAGAATAAGAGGAAATCTTACTACTGGAATAGTGCTTGGAATAGAGACTGTATCCTACTCTTCTTACATAGTTATTTAGCATGTGACCAATTAGCTAAACACTACCTTAGCTTCACTGTAAGTTAAATCTTGACTTTTTTTTTTTTTAAGCATTCAGATCACCTAACCTTACAGTTTGTTTTCCTCTTTCAACTACTTTTGCTAAATGCTCTTGCTGAGTTAGTTTTATTTGGCTAATTCTGTGTAGCAATTCTCAAAATTCTGGGCTAGGAATAAAATCCTCCGGTTTTAGACAACTTCTTGAGCTCCTATGGATATGAGATTTTCATGTAACTCTGAGATTGACTTCATGAGAATAAAAACTGCTTGTATTCAATAGATCATTTTTATATCCTCTTCCACTGCCAGAAATGTTCATAAGTTAATGCAACTTTTGATATATTACTAAGATTAGCAGAATTAGACTTTGAGACTTTTTGTTACTTTTTTGGTGAAAATGATCATATTTTACTTTAATGTGCATGGGTCAAACTTTTACAAGTGACACAAGTGACCTTCCCAGCTTTTAGTATCAACAAAGAACTCCGACTTAAATCTTCCTAAATGTAAACAGGTATGTGAGGTGGTACATTCCTTTGATCTTGAGTTTATGCTAGCCACTTAACCACAGACATGTCTCTAGTTGTTGCAATTTTGATAGATAAGCTATTTGGAAATCGCTAAGAGTACAAGGATTGGACAAAGCAACACCACTCTGCCTGATCCAAGGTGCTTTGCTCAGTGAAAAGCGAGTTTGCAGGCTCCATGGCCAGCTCTCAGTTTGCACCTGCAGCTGCAAATATCAAGATAAAACCATTATTTAATCAGTAGGACCGAGTGTCACCCTGGTAACCAGGCATTTTCACTGCAACCTAGACATCTTTGAAGATTCTGCTTTGTATGCGGAAGCAAATCCAGGCATAATTCCACAGATCTGGACAATTGCAACCAAGGTATTTGGCCCCACATGTTTACCAGCGTGACATGCACTAGGCAGCAAGCTGCTAAGTGGTTTTCAGATGGTTTTAGTTTACTGTCACTGGATAAATGAAGAAGTTGCTGACTTTGAACAACAAGAACTAATATTGTACTTATACACTAGTTTTCTGTCCAAATAAAAGATGGGGATGAGAAGCAGCACACATTTCCCCAAATCCATGTCCCTGGGATACTATCTATCAGCAATTCAAGAAACTTGCATCCTCCATAAATGCTTTTCTCTCCTCTTAGGGAGATTTCTTCCAACTTCTGTACATGTATCCTTTACTGATAAACGTATAACATTTTCCCTGAAAATGCTAGTCTGTCTTTAATGTGATGCCTGCTTTTAATTGAGCTCACTCACTGAAGCTGAGCGTGCAGCTGAACGTTCACCCTCTGTACCACAAAGGCCATGAAGCTTCTTCCCAAATGCCATGCCATGGAAATGACACAATTTTCAGTTCATTAGTAGTTACCAGCTGCTCCTGCTGCTTAACTAAAATAATACCACAACACCACATTACACAATTGGGATTGTTTGTGCAGTCTTTTGTGCAATTGTGATGCATTTGAAGGCATAAAACAATACTTGGTGTTCTGCTAAGTTATGATATTACACTACCCTGTGACCTCCCTCACCCTATCTCTTGAGGTCATCCACAGCAACTGCACTTTTAGAACAGAAGTTATTGCCTTATTAAATGTAATCCATCTAAGTCCTAGCACTAGTAAATTATTTACTGCAATACACTTAAGCAATGTTACAAGGTAATAATAAATAAGAGCCTACTCCAAAGGACCTGTGGTATGCTCCAGGCACTTCTCAGCTGGAATTAGGCCCAGAGGACAAGGAAACAGAATGGAAACTGCTGTGACTGTGTTATATAAGATTATTTATATAGTGCCTCAAATAATATATAGCTTAATTAGCCAGTTGTTTAGTATTTCCACACTTTCTGTTACCCTGGCATTTTATGCATGCTCTGAACTTCTTTGTGAAGACATTGCAGTTTTGTCCTTCAAATTCTTTTGCAAGTCTTGTCATTCTACCTGCAAAAATATAACCAATGATCTTCTCTTCCTCTTTGTAACTCCTTATCTCCAATTGTGACTTACTGACATAACTAATTCATGTGCTGTGGCCATGCCCACAAATCACACAATAAACTATAAACATACTCCTTTCACTGAGGAGTGGCTGGTCCCACCACCCTTGCGTGGGGAATCCAGATCTGTGCAGCTTCTTTCCTTAGTGTATGTGTAAGCAAAGGAAAAAAAATAGGCCAAAGGCTGAGCCACCTTAAAAACCCGAGAGCAGTGAGATAGTGGTGATAGACATGTGAGGTTCAGGGCATCTCCTCACACCTGGAATGGTGCAAAGCACATCTTATGGGTGCCCGTGTGGCTTCTTGCATTCTAACATGAAGTTTGTGGCAGGAGCACCATGCTGGATGGACTTACCACAGAAGGTTTCTCCCTGCCATATTACAGTAGGGTATCAGGGGAGCAGAGCATGGAAGCACATGTAGTGATTCCTCCCTTCCCGCTCTCATCTCACACTCTCATATGGTGTCCTACTGTTGTCCCCGTCCTTTCTCTGTAATGTCCCTTGCCCATTAATTTTTTTTTTTTATTAAGTGAAACCATTCTCCATTTTTCTTTTCTTCCTTACCCTAGGCATTTGATTTTATATGCATGTCCACATATGTACACACAGATTATGTATGTATAAAGAAAACCTCAATAAAATTAAACACCAAAGCAACAAAACAAAAACATATTCTTCCATTACTGGACCAAAGAGGTTCCAGCATAACAACATAACATCTGCTAAACATCAGATGGGGTGCACTCTGGTTAATACATGTTGCTCAGTAACAATAAAAAAGTTACTTTGATAACTACAAAATTCAGATAGTTCAAAGTATATCACTGGATTACTTCAAGAATTTGATTACAGGCAGCAACTGGTTCGTGCGCAGCCTGACAAAGTTTGGTGAATGTAGTACAGCTTACAGAACTTAGCAAAGCTCGGGTTGCTTGTGACAATCTCTTTCAGACCAAGACATGATTGGAAAAAATCCTCCCCCTCCCCTCCTCCCAAGAGAAAAGGGCCATGCTTTTCCATGAGGCTGGAACTTAGCCAAACTGAAACCATTTTGCTTCCTTTTCTCTTCTCCTTTGTCCTTCAGGACTGCCGCAAGTGTTTCACACCAAAATACAGCTGAAGCGGTCTCATCACAGCAAACATCCCATAAAAATGCAGCTCAAAGAAAAGGGCACCTGCTGCTGTGCAATAATGTATTTGCAGTATTAGTGTGTGGAATAGCACACACCTTCAGGATTAGCAGTGGCTCGTAGTATCTCAGTTGCAGATAGGCAAAAGCAGAGTGGCCCTGAATTAGTGAGAGCTACATAGCAAGAACAGCCACTATCCCCCGCAATAACAAAAATTTCAGCTTCTGAAACGCAGGCTTTACCTTTGCTAGCAGGTAATACTTCCATCAGTATGACTCAATTCACTTTCCCCAAAAGCAGGAAGGAGTAACTGAAATGTCAAGCACTTCTGCCATTGTGAAAAATGGCTTTTTGAGTAGTTGTCAGCTTTTTGGTTAATCAGAAATTCTCAGCTTCCTAAAAGGAGCTACTTCAATATGACATTTTTCACTAGGACCCGCAGTTGAAAATTAAGCCAATAGTTTCAATAGTCTCTTTTACATTGTTATAAATTATTATTTTAAGTTTGACCTCGTCATGCAAAATGTAAGAGAGAGTTCCTCTGTGGGGATTCAATCATCTGAATATTTTACATACGATTTCACTCATTTTTGTCTAATCATATAAAAGAAAAAAACACACCTATCATAAGCTTTTGCTTCTTTTCACACACAAATGTTAATAAAATGACCCAGAAGTCTCCCCCAAACTAGAAAAGAAGACAACAGCTGGCCAAAGATAACAATCAAATCAAACAACACCCTGACAGTGCCTGAGTCATTTAAAATGAGACAGGACAAAGCACTTAAGAATGTACCACAGGGAACAACTTGCACTGAGGACGAGACAAGAGTACATGATTTTGGCCCTGATTCAGCAAAGCTCTTAAGCACATGCTTAAGTGCTCTGCTGAACCAGGGCCACCATAAGCCAGATTTTCAGAAAAATCAGAAAGGCAACTCTTCTTTCCGGGTAGATACCACAAGGTATCAGTGAACTGAGGGCTCCCACACGACTGTGCCTCGGCACGAAATCTGCATTTGTAATTTTTTTAGCTCCTTGCATAGGTCAGATGGCTTTTACGAACATGAGAGTACTGTGACTACCCTAGAAATCTCTTTCACACTTCTCACTTTTATAACTGGAAAGTCATAGAACTTATAGCTTCAAATGGTCTTGTTCTCTGCATTTCTGTACTCATCAAACTCTTCATCCTTCTGAAGGAAAATAACTGCAGCTTCACTTTGCTTTGTTATATATGAAGAACCTGTAACTATTTTTAGAGGGAGCATGTTCATATTTATTCTGAATATGCTGATGAAAAAAAAGCATCACAGCGATACCTTCGGTTCCACTATGACTGTTTTTGTTTTTTTTTTTTTTGAAGTCACGATATTCTTTAAACTAAATAGTCAGGACAGCAACAGCTTTCTGTTGTGTTTGTAAAAACTGAACATAGGTCTATTCTTACTTTAAGTCTTGACACAATTTATATGAATGCTGCTGTGTATATAGAGAAAAAAAAGCTTTTTAAAAATCAGGTTTTAATTAAAAAAATTATGCCTAATACAAATTCAGTGGAATATTTCTGACTTATCCCTTAGGGAAATGTTCCATACTTGACAAGTCCAGCTATACAGTATCTGTAGCTATTTATCTGGGGGCTTCACTGCCTCCACTGCTAAGAACAGAGGAATTTAGCAGGGAGGAATCTCTAAATAATAACAGCGGCAATAAGAACAAGAACTCTAGCTTGTGGAGTAGCACTATTTAAATGCTAATAATGAAGCTCTAAGTTTCTAACATGAAATCTGATTTCTCGGGAAATCAGGGACACCGAAATTCTTTTTTTTTTGTTTTGTTTTTAACTTGGGTGCACTCCTGTGAACGACGGAAGCCTTGCACGCAGAGAGGTGCAGGAACGGCGTATTTGTGTGTGCATGTTACGAGTTCTCAGCTTTCCTGAACACCAGAAGTTTTGCCTTATTACAGCCAAAGTTACAAAGTTTTGCTCAGTACTTCAGGCTGTACAGCTGATCCTTTTAGCTCTGAAGGGCTCTGGTGTGTCGGTGAAGGGGATATAGACACCATGTTACCTCGCTGCCTTATTAATAATTGAGCCAAGATCACCAACCCATTTCACCAGCACATACACTCCAGGCTGACACCGTGCTTCTAAAAGTATAATCTTTCATCCAGCTACTCAACCTAACTGCCCTTAGCCCAATAAAACAAGAAGGAAAAATAAAACCTCCTCCAAACTGCCTTTGATTTGCAACACCAGTTGCAGTTTTCTATTGGGACAGTGGCTACTAATATATGAAATTTCTCCTTTATGCACATTTCTCCCAGGACACTCGCTTGCTGGTTTACAGGCATTATCAAATGACAGTGCTTCACATCATCTAACATTATTGCTTAAAATAATTCCCAGTAACTTAACCTAAACTTGTAACATTTTTACCACTTCCTCTTCAGGGCTTTCAGGGCTGCGGTTGCAAATTTAGGAGTTGTGTACACTACTGAAGATTAGGAAAGAGGACAAATCCTTTCAAGCTTCAGCTCTTCTAACCTTTTGCTCTGGACTGGTTTTGGTCACTTTGATCTCTAAGAGATTCATACTGTTTAATACATACTCAGGAACTCTGCCAAACAATACAGTTCTGCATTCCTTTGCTGTGTGACAAGTCGAAGTAACCTAGAAAATCCAGCCCCTTACTGCAAAACTTCTCGCAGAGATTTTTCCCACTGCGGGTTAGTGTTCAAATTTTTAGGTACTATTTCGAAATGGACAGAGTAATCTTCACTTCCTTTTTTCTGCTTGATGAATACAATTACACTGAATCGGGATGATCTGGGTCTCTTTGTAATAGCAGAATTCCTCATCAAAGCTTACTTAACATCTGCAGTAAGTTCAAGTGGTTTTCAAACAAACCCAAGAATTCCCGATATCTACAGCGCAGCAAAAACAAGCAGGTTCGGAAGGCATTCCTGTACCTCATCGGAAAATAAACATGAGCATGGTGACATCTTTGTGCTGTCTTAGTTACAAGCCACCCTGCCCAATGCAGAATTATTCTTCTTTTGACTCAGATATATCTTATGTACCAGTGAAAATATTATTTCACAAGGAAGGCGCAAACTCATTCTATATCTGCAATTATTTTATCAGCAAAAAACATACACAGAAGTCACTAAATTTTGATAAAAAGAAACAGTATCTCATATTCATACTGTGAGGCTATTTCACGAGAAAACACCAAAACCCCCAGAATTTGGAATTATAACATGTAGAAAAGGCTGGTGAGCAGATTAGAAAATAGTATTATCACTCAACTTGATATTTAATAGTACATTACCTAGAAGGCTAATGCCTAAACGAGAGAGCCCCTGTCTCAGTCCTTCTCCCAGGCTCTCTGGAAGCTGCCTTCTCCATTCTTCTTGTCTGTTGTAATGCTCCTCATCCAGTGACAGCCTATCCATATTCCGAGCAAGACTTGTTGCCAGATTGGTAATTGACGTCAGTGTACCTAAATACATGGAGATATACATTTGGGTCTGGATCAAAATGCTTTAATTTAAAACACGGAGTATGCCTCACTGAGCTTACGAGCAAGTCAACTGCACAGACACCCATGTGGAACATGCTTTACTATTTGTTAAGCATCACCACGCTGCTGCTACGGTCCACGTCACGCCTTTTACATTAGCCTGCTCCAGGTTTGCCTGGCCTGTGGGAACAGCAGCTCATCTGAACATCCTTCCCCGGTTCCCTGGCTTCTGTAAGGCTAACCTAAATGGAGGGAGGGGTGATGGAAAGGTAAACAAATATTTACAGAAGGAGCAGGGAGGCCGTGTCCTGTGGGAGGCTGCAGCGGGAGGTTGGGAGCAGCAGCCAGGGACGGGGCAGCCGCCGCAGCCTCTCCCGCGGCTGGAGCCACGCGATGGCACTGTTTGTACAGGCTTCTCAAAGGAAAAGCTGCTCCTGCTCCCCGGCCAGGACAGCTCCACTGTCAAATCCTATCCTGTAACTTACACAGTTATGACAACTGTATCTACTTCTTTCTTCTTTTTCTAAAGAAATAATAAATATGATGAGGCAACCGAGTGTAGAATTTCTGATGACTAGCAGAAGTGCAGAACACCTTTAATACTTCTGCAGTTAACACATCACGTACTTGCTGAGTGAATCTCTATTTCCCACTGGGAGGTTTAAAATTCTGAAGTTTCTGAAACATTCTCATGCACTGCAGTTAAGTGGTGATCTGTTTAATACATGAGAGTTTACACATGAGCTTTGTTACCCTCCCAGCACTGCTGCAGCCTAGCAAGCCAAACAAAACTACAAGCAATATAGTTTAAACTTTAACAAATCCTTTAACAATGCATGACAAAAAAGCAGTAGTTGGAGTAACAAAGTGAAAGTTCTACCTTTGGAAATGTGTTTTACAAATGATGTTGTTCCTCTGGAAACTCCACTGACAAATGCTCCTGGGCCTCTGGTCAGCCCTTCATAGGGAAGCCTAAAGAAATCGGCTACACCATTCCCTATGCTTCTCACCAGGCTAGCCGGGCTTCCAAGAATCTCCAACGAACCAACAACCCAGCCTGCAGAGAGAAACAAGACACATGTTACGGCTGCAAAAACTGCAGAAGCAGCAGTTGTGAAAAGCTTATTTCTTAATTATCTTTTTCACACTAGAATTCATCACATTATGAACTTCCTCTGGGCAAAACACAGGAAATAACTCATCCACTATGAATTCAGAAATGGCAATCTTTCCTACTTCGTAAATCAAAGAAATCCTTTTGGCAAACTCACAAATAGCTTTAGAATTACTTCCTTCCAGGAGCTTCCCGTATTTCTGCTAAAAGTGTGCAAGGGAGGCGGATGCAAGAGCCTCACAGCTACAGAGGAATGGGACTGCAAGCTCAGATGGTTGGATTGGTTTTAGATGCTATAAGGCAGCGTTGTGATTTCACATCCTTCTGTGATAGAATTGTGACAGGGAGTTTACACTGATACAACGTACTGCTTTACAGGAGTGTGCAGGTCAATTGCTTGATGGAGTGTTAGGAAAAGGGATACAGATTTTTGACAAGTGCTTAAGAAGTTATTTTAAATCCACCCCAACACTTCTAAGCTGATCATTTTCTTTCTGAGTGCAGTGAAAGCCAGACAAATGTCTTCTGCTCAGTACAGTTGTGTAAACAGCAATGACATCTACATGCTGATTAGGTTACTCATAGGGGAGTATTCCTTATGCACATCCCAGGAGAGGTATCTGCAGATCTGGTTTCCTATATAAATGCAGGGTTGCCAGCAGCTTGCTGGATGGCCGAGCACACAGCAATCTGTTGCTGGAAAGCTGTTTGCAGGTCTTGTCTTTCTCAGGCTGGTTGGCAGCAGATTTATTAGGGAAATAGTGCTGCATAACTCTTTTTTTGGCAGCCCAGAGAGAGCAATTCAGAAAGGGCAATAAACGTTAAACGGGAACTGCTTGGTCTTTGAGCTCTGGTACCACGAATTTCAACTGGCACTGTCAGAGTGGCACAAATTGTGTGACAGGACCAGGAGACTGAAGGATGGACAGAGTGGCCTCCTGCTCCCCCGCAAGGGCCCTTGATCTGCGCTCTGCCCTCCTCATTCCCATCTCATCACCGAAAACTCCTGCTCTCCAGATGCTTTTCTTGTTTTTTGTTAACCCCTCCCAGTCATTCCTGTGGAAGGCTGAATCATGAAACTGAACAGAAGAGAAAATGTTACTCATATGAAATGGATTAATCTCATAGTATCATTCTAAGCTCCCGGAAAATCTGTTATTCTTGTTGAATCTGTCCCACATTTCAGTTCTGGCAGGTTGAGAACTCCAGTACACGTAGTATAAAAAGCAGGAACCAGAGTGGACATAAGGAAGAGTATGGGATGGACTACGAAAACAAAACCCAAGAGCTACTGGCAATGCAGCGAACAGAGCAGCAACACACACTGTGGCCCCGTGGTGCCTGCCCTGAAAAGTAGTGTCCCCTGGCAGTACTTCCCTGCTGGGACCAAGGGAAGCCAGTGCTCCAGGCTGGGCCTGCAACTCCCTCGCTGCAATATTTTTAATAAATTATCTTTGCCACTGTGTGAAGTGACGAAAAGCTGAAGGGGTGGGGAGACACGTACAGATGTAAGAAATGCTCTTTCTGCTTTTTCTGATCAATACTATTGCAATAACCTCTTAAAGCCTTTTTTCCCCTAAATATTCTTTGCATTCCTTGTCTCAGGTGGTGGTGTGACACAAAGGGGTTGCAGGGCATCAGACCTTAGTGCTTTGATGTCCTGCAACATCCCAGCAGGCACCACCAGGCCTGGACACAGGAGACTTCAACTCCCCTCACCTGCTGGGCCAGCCAGCATGTTCAGGAATGAAAAACAGATAAAACCCAGGACCCAAAACAGTTAAACACAAAACTGAGGGGTTGCCTGATATCCCAGGGATGGTCGTTGCAGTCTATCCCTGCTCTTTGGGTTTGGGAAGCTCTGGATGGAGCATGCTCACCCTTGGAGAGCTCATGGGAAGAATGTGCAACCTGCAGCACAGGTGACCCTCCTTGGCCAATGCTCAGAGCAAAACAAACAGCTCCTCACTGCGAGCATGGACCACCCAACCCAAGGAGAAAGGTGTGGGATTAAGTCGGGAACAGGAGAATGAGGAACCAGGAATAATCCTTCAGTTTCCAAGCTCTGTGTGGCATTTACTTTGCAGAAATACAGTATCATGCCAGGTTACCATTTCCCACAGTATGCTTAGAAATTATATCTACTGACATGAAATAATTATGAGCTACTGCATTTTCTTTATAGGCAACTTAGGGTTTCAGGTGCATCATGTACCCAGAGCAACTGCTGGCCTTTGCACTGCTGCACACTGCAAGGCCAGCACAGGAGGAAAGACCAAAAGTGGGCTCAGAAATCCCTATCCAGCATCTGTGCCTCACCTGGGATGTGGTGGATAAAAAGCCAGAACAGCCCTAATTTCCTGCTGCAGTCTGTAACTACTTGTAGCACCACTCCTAGCCAGTCATGGGGAGAAGCATTCACACTGTGGGCCGTATCTGGCCACAAACTCACTGGTAATTACCAAGCCAATAGACTTCCTCTTTTGTACTACGAGATTTAACTGCAAAACAAATCCAAACAAGTAGCAAAAAGAAAAACTTGCAAATTTTGCAAGCATAATAATGCAAGAAAATGACAAATTGCTACACAATGCTCTGGTGCACAATTGTGTACACAGTTGTCACAGTTAACAATCAAGTCAGGTATGCACACAGTGAAAGACCTGGTCAGCATTTCACCATTTCTGTTTATAAGTAGCTGAAATGCATATGTACAATTTTGGAAACTGTGCACAGAAATCAGGCTGCAGCTATGATGGCAGCACAAATGGAAGCATCAGGGTCTCAGAAAATGTGACCATTAGAATTGAAGGAAAATAAATCCCACTTTTCGTTGTGGAGTACATTACTTGTGTCTGACCATGGAGGAGCTTCCTCCTGCCTCAGGTTCAAGTTCTATGTCACACTAAGACATATCAGAGACCAAATTTCATGATTTCTAAATTAATATTTAGGGGAAACAGAATGTACCTGATAACCTGAAAAGACTAACTGCTTGCTATTAATCCTATGTGGGAAAAAGTTAGTAACAGCAGACTTCTTAGTTCTTGGATCAAAGGACAACAAACATCTGTGTGCCAGTTTAGACTGAAGGTTGTATGAAGAAAGACAGAATCCTAATCATAAACTGCAGCCAAAAGGAGTTTTAACAACAAAACAACATACAGAGCTATAATTTACTTCTGAATGCAGAGCAACGTGCTGAATAATTTTATTAAATGTAGTTTTGGGGAGTTTATTTGAGGAATGCGGATTGATTCTGACTAGTGCTACAATATAAAATGACAAAACTTAAGCCAGCTAGAACACATTTTTGTCCTGTGTTCAGGGCTTTGTAAAGCCTTCAGGCAGCTGGCTAATGTTTAGCACAGCTTTGGAAATCTTCACTGGTGTATGCTCAGCCATTTTATTTCCTTTATGTTGTATGGCAGGACCTGAAACATGTCTGAAAATATCATTAAACAGTGTCAGAGGAAAGCAGTAATTGTATGGGTAACACCTAGGTTATTCAGTTTGAGAGACAATCACAGAATCCTTGTGCCTGATAAAAATGTTACATATTAAGAAAAAGTACTGACCTGCTCTGAAAAGTGCTCCAGCAGCGTAATGCATGGCCAAGGCATGGACAAGTTGCCTGGCAGTGGTGAAGATGGGTCCTCGCTCAAACACAGAGAAGGAGAGAGGGGTGTGATCTGAGGCTATGTACAGTTTCAATGAAGCATGAATACTGACAAGTAGATTTACAGGTTGTATTGTTAATTTTCTTAGTTTCACGGGCTTAACTAAAGCTCTGGCATGCTCTCTCACTTGTTCAGGCACTATCAGGGTAGTATCTGAAGCATTCACGGATTTACAAGCAGTTTTGTTTTCTGGAAGATATGTATCAAACAAAGTCTTAATGTAGTAAACAAAGGTGTCTTCCACATACAGCCTAGCTGGTTTGAGCTCAAAGCTGAGGTCATTCACATGAAACATGAGATTCTCTTCCTCAGAAAAAGCAATGCAGAGTTTTATAAAGCAGTTTTCCTTATAGCTTTCCAAATCTTTGTTACAAACAATGAGGTTGTTCACTCTCGACCATTGCACAGTCTCATTTTTCTCTCCTTGGCACAGCAGGACTGCAAAATGGAAATTAGATTTGCTGTACAACTGATTGTCCAGTTGCAAGTCTTCACAATACACTTGGAGACTATGAAATTGTGGGAGGCCTTCCATGGAGTCCCACTGGACCTCCTGTGACAGGGAGCTGGTGGCTGGGGCCATGTGGACGAAAACATTGTCTGCTGTGAGACGCAGAAGTTCAGATGACACTTTGGGGTTTGTAATATCATCAAATGCAGCAAGACTTAACTGATTGATGAACATTTTCAGTGACAGGGTCTGCTCTTGACTTCTAGAAAGGAGTGAGAAGAAATCTTGTTATTTCATATATTTTAAGTCTATCTGGCATCTTGCTTCCTCAAAAAACTCTCAGGAGAGATGTTCTCTATAATACATGGGAAACTCATTGTGCAAGTCCCAGTAATGTTAATGGGATTTGGCAGTCTTAATTACCACAGTTGGTACCACCTGGGAGGTCTTCTAAGAAATGGGAGAGTACACATCTATGCCAGGTTTTTCTTTCTTTTTTATCAATCAGCAGAATATTTTGGACAGGAATGTCTCTATCTACACAGTAATTCCCTATTATATTTGCTACAGAGCCAGATATTAAAGTAGACAACAAATACAATTTTCCGATAATTCATATACACCCTCAGATGTTCCAGTATTTTCTGAGAGCCACTACTGAAGGGTATTATTATGAATAACTCATTTCACATCACATGCAGTGAGTGCCCTCCAATGAAGCCACTATAGCATTTTTATACTGATGGCATTGAGGGCCTCCCTCCTCCAGTGTTAACTGCCCATTGCCAAATTTAACTAGCAAGTGGGCTATTCTGTACTGCTGATGACCAGTTTTTTTGTGGGATTAATACTAAATTATTGGGGAAATAAAAACAGTACAACAAATTTCATTCTAATTGAAATAGCCTTGCTGAAGGTCAGGCATTCTGCCTTTTAGAAATAGGTAGTATTATAATGGCACTTAATGAAGCTGAGGACCAGGTTGTGGTATATTATGGAAGTGGGAAAATCTTCTAAGGAGTTATAATCAGGTATAATTGATTACTGATTGTAAGACTATTTCTACAGCCCTTGCACATCAAGTTTCCTTGGTAACTTGTAAGATTATAGATGGCAGGAGCTGGCTAAATACATTTTAAACTGATGAACACACTCAAAATTAATTATGATTGAATTTTTTTTTTTTTTAAATGAACATCTCAGGTCCTCTTTTTGTATGTACCTGTTGAGGTTGCTCTCGATGGATCCTGCTCTTCCTTCTGGCGCCAAGGTTATGACTATTGTTCCACAGTGATGGGCAATGTCCACATAAACACATCCAAAGCCAGTTAAGAACACAATCTAGTAGAGAGAGGTAGAAACACACTGAATGTTACAGAAATTACTATTTTTAGTGTCATAAATTGAATTATTCTATTAATGCCTTCTGGTTGAGATCTTTTACTCAAATCATGATACTATTCAGGAAAAAAGTCAGAATTCAATAATTCAGAAAATAACAGCTCTGATACTTGAAGTATTTCAGTTGTAAAGTTGAAATTTGCATCTCATCCTTCAACTCCATAACTGAACACATTTTAATAAAAAATTCTCAGGAAATAAGCAAGATGTGCTGTGGAGGGGGGAGGTTATATGAGAAGAATAAATAGGAAATTTTTATTTGTGATTTTGGATTAAGAAGAAAGGCATTTTTCTTGAGCTCTACAAAATTCCACCTTCTCCTCTAGAAAACAAACCCTAAACTAACATTATGTTGCTATGGCCTAG